AGACCCCTCATAGCCTTGCCTTCCGATAGTCCGGCATATCTGATAATCCGGCACCCCCTGGGTCCTAAAGGTGCCGGATTATCGGAAGTTTACTGTATATTTCTCATTTTGAAAATCTATATACAGCAGACTTCGGATAATCCGGAACCTTTGGGACCTAGGTGGTGCTGGATTATCGGATATGCTGGACTATCAGGAGGTACTATAAGGTTTATTTATATATTTCTCATTTTGAAAATCTATATACAGTAGACTTCGGATAATCCGGAACCTTTGGGACCTAGATGGTGCTGAATTATCGGATATGCTGGACTATCAGGAGGTACTATAAGGTTTATTTATATATACATAAACACAGTATATACTGTATATAAAGTGTTTTTAACCCTTTTTATTGTAGCACAATCACTGTCCAGCGTCACACAATGCCAGTGGCAAACTGATTCAGTCCTGTCCGGTTTCACTCGGTTCAGCTGCTGCCGCCACCGCCTTATAACTCGTTTTTTGCAGAACTTCACTCACTAGGCTCTTGCCATTTTGATGCCGGACTCTCAGGAGTGCCATACAATTGGATGCTGGACTATTGGAGTTTTACTGTACTAGTGAGTGCAATTTTAGTCATATAAATGTTCTCACTGGTTATTTATTAAAAAGTGAGTGGTAGGCTACTGTTCTTGCTCTTATAGATATACTTGAAGCAAAGTTCTTCCAAACTATAAAGACATGTTTGGTTTCAGACAAAAATTCGTAACTTTTTTTTAAGTTTCAGCATGTATCTAGAAATGTTTTATGCATATATGTTATATTCATAGAATAACAGAGTAACATTTCTTTCTTCATTAGGGTGCTCCGTCATATGTATCTAGAGAAGCATTACCAGATGAACCAGTGGGACATTTTTCTTCTCTATTACAACCGATTTGTATCTGAATTACTGTGTTGGTCAAATAACAAACATGCAACACCACAAAAGTGTGGAAAGTGAGAGAACCACATGTGCTAGAAAAAAAATCTAAAATAAAAATATAAGGGCCCAAATTTCAAAGCTGGATAAGTGTTCAAAACTAGCCATGCATGAAAAAAATTTACTATTTAAACAACAGACTCTGTATCTGTAAATAAGGACGTAATTCCCAAACTACCACCAAAAATATTTCGCAAATGCGGATTTGTATAGAGTAGGTTTAGTAAAATTATTCATTTTAAGTTTATTAGTAAAGCTGTAAAATTGAGCTCACTACAAAATTAATTATTGAAAAGTTCCTCAATAGTTTTACGTACGGTATACATATAGCAACACTGTAATGATGTTTACTCTGGTATGCAACATACTTCAATGTGATAAATTCTTAAAGTTTCAACAGTAAATAATAGAACGTATGACGTGGCAATAAATTAATGGTTATTATGTCAGGTTGTATAATAAATCTCAGATCACACTGCCACTTAATTATGCTCTCAAGGAATAAGAACCGAACCACAAGCCAAGACTACTGATTTCTATACCCCAATCTGCAAATTCCACATGTGTAACCATCAGTATGACACAATCAGCTTCTTTACCAGTAAAACATCAATAAAACATACAATAATAAAACTGCTTTGTACACATAAAATAAGTATAATCCCCTGAACAGAAGTCTCTTTTTACACTTATTTTATAGTCAGATTTTTAGCAGTTAAAAGAAATGATTTTAAAATAATTTAAAATTTGTCAAAATATGCACACACACATCTAGCTATAGATTTACATCTTCAGATCCATTAATCAAATAAAATTTATACACAGTAAAACCAACCTTTAAAGACATCAGACACGCATAATCTAAAGGGTTTATCCACTGATCTCTGAGGTGGTTTGAAAGAATCTGAAAATAAATTAATAATACCTTGAGATTCTCTATATTTAAGTGACCAAAATGATCATCTCACAATTTTTCACTTAAGCAACCGAATATATTTCATCCCATCTCCCCCTGCTACACACAAACACACACAATTTCCTCCCCCAAAAAGAACAGTTTTGACAAACAAGATTACAATGTACCAAATAAAAATAAAGCAGAATGGCACACTCACCAATTTGTTCTAACAAACATTTTCCCTTATACCATTCAGTGAGTTCACTTGATTGACATACTGAGACTAGATTTTCACCACCAAGGCCACTTGTAGGGATATAAGCTACATCAGACTCCTAATTAAAGAAACAGAACAAAAAAAAATTCTCAAAAATACATATACAATGCATCTGTAGAATGGTACCTTTATGAAAAAACAGCAATAAAGAGCACGTTTACAATATTACTACAACTATATTTAAATTCATGGCATTTTGCTTACTATTTCACATTTTCCTTGAGTCAAAAAGAAAATATTTTGCCTGATAATACCCAGCCTCTATAAGATGAACTCTCAATTTATTCAAAATTTGAAGGTCTTCTTGGCTGATGAAGCTTCCTTCTGTTTACTGTACATCAAAGCAATCAAAGCGAAGACAAAATCAGAAAGTATACGTTACATGTGACAGTTACGTAACTGTAAGATGAGAGTACAAATCATTGTTGCAACCACTGTTATATGTTTGCACCAAATCTTGTACAAAGTGGGCCAAGTAAGATGTCTATGAAAATCTTATGATTTGCAGATTCTGTTTATACTGCTCATGGGCATGCATCATTTTTGCATTTGAAGTTTTAAGTATTAGCTATGTACTTGTATTTCAAACATTTGCTTCTAGAGACCTCAACAGGCCGCTTGGCCAGCCCATTGTGAAACGGTTGCTAGTGAAGTGAACAACAGTACTTGACTGACTATGTACAGCTGGTGTTGCCAATCCACATCCAACAAACTTTGATGCAAACGTTCATACCAGCATGTAAGCGATGGCTGCTCCTTGAAAAGGACTGAATCATGCATGGACAGGCGACTTCATGACAAACTCCATCTTGGGACATACTTTCACACAAACAGAACAATGGGAATCCCTTCACATGCGCAAAGATAATAAAGAGGGTCCTGGATGTTCTTCCATTTTTGTCTTCATTCCTACTTCTCGCCTATGAAGGATCTCGCCTATGAACTGAAGTCTGCAAGGACTGCTGAGTCATCCTAACAGATGATGTATTCCAGAAACTAAGACACCAGTTTATTTCATCTCTGCTACATGCCTGCACCAATAATTTTGCAATTGGTATACATATTCTTTTAAAAATTTTACTATCCCTTTTCTTTCTTTTATTAAAAAACCTTTAGATTTTAGATTCTAAAGTATTGGCTGACAGCATGATACAGAGGCAGCAAGGTGTGGGCGGTGGGAGGAGCGCGCACGTGTTCGATAAGATTCATCAATAAGCTGAGGCTTATCAGTTAATCGCATACACGTGATATCCCTAGCAGGGACATGGCATTTTTTTGTCCACCCACTTGCAAACTGGTACCACTGATTCTGGGATCTGCCACACAATCTTTGCCAGGTCTAAAATGGCCTCATTAATTGGGAGGGCCATCTATGAGGAGGAGGTATAGTGGAGGATGCTAAAGAGTAGAGAATGTGTATCCTTGACTTCCTCCAATGGTGTCTGGAGGGTTTCAGTCACTCTTTTGCCAGCTCCTGGAAGGGATGAAAGTCATTCCCGGAGATGATGGAGAAAGCATGACAGCTTTGCCTGAGGAATGAATAGAATGTGGTTCTCGGTACAAGCTTCCTGGTTCCTCAATAATTTGAGGAATTTCTGAATGCTGCAGACAGGGAGGTGTGCCTGAGGATAAGTGGAGCCCCCAGGCGGCCAGGGGGGAAGCAGAGCCCCTGCCGCACTGACCTCCTCTGGTCCAGTAAATTCCCTGGTTCTGAACCAGTCAGGTCCCAAGGATGCCGGACAGGGAGATACAGCCTGTACTATAAAGACAGGTGCATAACTGATGGGATAACCATCTCCAGAGAGTAGTTATCAATGGTTCTGAGTCATGCTGGAAGGGCATAATGAGTATGGTTCTGCAAGGGTCAGTTTTGGGGCAAGTTCTGTTCAGTATCTTCGTCAATGATTTAGATAATGGAAGAGAGTACACCTATAAAGTTTGCAGATGATACCATATTGTGAAGGGTTGCAAGTGCTTTGGAAATGATCTAGACAAACTGGAGAAATAGAAGAGTTGTTATACGGGAGGCCACAAGCCTTTAAAAACCTCAATCTTAAATTTACTTTACCTTAAAGCCAGCTTGTTTAAGAAACTGGCCAAGTTTACTGGTAATTTCCAGAAATCTCTCCTGATGCCAACTGACCTAAAATAAAAACATTTTTTGAAAAAAAATATTGGATTTTGGCATATTTCTCTATACAAATTACATCGACTGCTTAATACTGTACACCCAGCTTAAGACCTTACATGAAAACTTCAGTTCAAAGATCAAGCCTAATTAATAAAATGTTGATAGTGTTTCTTCCACATTTTGAGAAAGACAGCATTGAGCATATTATGAAAGAAAATGAATTGAAGGCCTTATTCTACAATGTGGAATGTAACTGAATGCAATAGGGATGCATTTAGGCACAGAAATTTGTCTATCTGGAATAAGTTGTAGGGTAAATCTGCAGTTCTACTTTCTGTCTAAGATACTATAAATGAACTTGTTCACCACAGTACCTCTGATTTTTGTTTTTAAATTCACATAGTATCATTCACCTGAGCTAACATAACCAACTCTCAAATACAGCACCCATCCTTCCCCGTGTGCCATGCCAGCAGGAGTGGCCTGAGGCTGGCTGCGGTAGCTGGTGCCCCAGGTGGAAGGTGTGATCGGCGCCCCCGCCTGCACAGCTGTCAATGGCCGTGACGTAATCACGGGGCACCCCATGACGTCATCATCGGGCGCCCGGGCCAGTGGCACCAACGGCAACTGCCTAGTTTGTCTAGGCTCATGGGCCGCCCCTGGTCGGAAGACAGGATACTGGGCTAGATGGACCTTTGGTCTGACCCAGTATGGCCGTTCTTATGTTCAAGGCAAAACAAAAATCAGACTCCACAAGGATTTCTCTTAATTTACATGTATTTAGTTGTAATGTATTACTAATATGTACAGTAAGTGTAATTTTAAATAAATAGCATGTTTTTGAGCAAATGCAGCTACATGCACTCATCAGCACCCCATGTGACTCTACAACTGTCATCAGGGTGGCAATTCCGAGGGTGACCCACAGACTTACAGGGGCCCTGGGCAAGGTAGAGGAGGGGCTAAAATCTGGGCCCCCCAGTAGGGGTGGAGCCTCAGGTGAGAGGAGTAGGGCTGAGAGCTAGCCTCCCCCAGCCATCCCTGAGCACTACCTAGACCCTGCTGCACAGGGCTCTGGTGGTGATTTAAAGGCTCTGGGGCTCCAGCTTCTGCAGCTGACCCTTCCCCCCATCAATGGTCCTGACAATCTTCATGGGGAATGTTTACCCCAGTAAATGTCAGCAGGATTACTTAGACAGTACTCTTTGGGGAGATTTTAAAAAAATACAAAGTGGAGTTACAGATCCAATTCCCATTGACTCCCAATGGGAATTTAGCATCTAACTGCCCCTTATTTTTGAAAATCTACCTCTTCTTGGTCTACATGAGGAATTCACAGGCTTCAGAAGAATTTTCTTCTTGCTGAACACAGGCATTATGAGAACTGGTAACTGTGTAAAGAAAAAGGGAAGGACAAATCTTCTGGCCGTGGAACACAGATCCTCTTAATTTAGAATTCATATGAAGGGATACGGAACCTTTCAGTAAAGAAAATGATCAAGCAAGTACCTGATCCATTTTATTGACTGCAACTGCCAGTTGTGTTACTCCGAGAGAGCGAACCAACAACCCGTGTTCTCGTGTCTGTCCACCAGTCTCAAACCCTGCTTCAAACTCTCCTCTGCTGGCATCTACAACCAAGATAGCCACATCAGCCTAGGTGACAAAAAAGATGGTTAGGAAAATAATTTGTACAAGATAAATATATTATGGATAAATATGGCCCTGACTAGTCAAACACACACCTTAACCTATACTCAACAAGAGACCGTCAGCACGACTCCAGATGAAAACGGGACACCTTAACCTATACTCAACAAGAGACTATCAGCATGACTTCAGATGAATGAGGACTGATTTCTAGATCACTAACGAGGACTGAAAAACAGACGTGCACCGCTGTATGGTTAAATATGGGGACAGCAACTTTACTAAAACTATTAACCAGCTGGAGCTACTATTCAAGCTATGTGACAGCTGTTCCAGGGTGGATTTCAAATGGACAAAGATCCTGCGTTCTACTAACCTGAAAACGGGAATGAGGTCAATGCCTTTTCTGTTCCCTCAGGCCTGCCCAAAAACCCTAGCTCCAAATCAAAGTCCCAATTCATTCCCTTTTTCCACACAAGGGATCAGAAGGATATCATGAAGTGAGCTGAGCCACGCATTAACTGACAGAGACCTACCGCATCATTCTGTAATGTTATGCCAATACCCAAGCAGCCCCATAGGTTACAGGGAACTTACATCAGACTCTTGTTTAACCACCAACCACACCTCAAGAAAGCTAAAGCTGCAACATATAATATTTAACCCTCCAAACAGCTACAGTTGCCCTAAAAAAGTTACAGCAGTCAAAAAAAGGAGATAGAATATTGGGAATCAGTAAGAAAGGGACAGCGAAGAAAACAGAGAATATCTTATTGCCTCTACATAAATTCATGGTACAACCACATCTTGAATACTGCATGTAGATGTGTCGCCTCATCTCAAAATATATATCTTGACTTTGGAAAAAGTTCAGAAACAGGCATCCAAAATTATTAGGGGTACAGAACAGCTGTCATTTGAGGAGAGATTAATAAGACTGGGACTTTTCAGCTTGGAAAAGAGACGACTGAGGGGAGGAGGAGATGATATAGGTCTATATAATCATGATCGGTATGGAAAGTGATTAAAGAAGAATTATTTACTCCTTCCCATAACACAAGAACTAGTGGTCACCAAATTAAATTTAAAACAAACAAAAAGAAGTATTTCTTCATACAATGCACAGTCAATCTGTTGAATTCCTTGCCAGAGGATGTTGTGAACTCCAAGACTATAAGATGGTTAAAAAAAGAATACATTAATGGAAGATAGATCTATCAATAGCTATTAGCCACATAGGGCAGGGATGGTGTCCCTAACCTCTGTGTGTCTGAAGCTGAGAATGGTGACTGGGGTTGGATCATTTGATGATTAATTACTTCTTCTGTTCATTCCTCTGGCACTGACCACAGTCAGAGGACAGGATACTGGGCTAGATGGACCTTTGCTCTGACCCAGTATGGTCATTCTTTCGTTCTTATATTCAATTTAGAAAAAAGCATAAGACATTATGCGAAGCGGACAGGAGCTGCAGACAGGGGAGTTTGACAGAGGGAGGCCTACGATGGTCAGGAACACCCGCAACACCTGTGCCAGCACTGCTTCTGTCTCCTCCACCGATGCCTGTAAGGTTCCAGAAAGAGCACCTGAGCATGGATGCCTCTACCCAGATCCTGGTGTGGTTTTGCAGGGACTGTGGATTGCAATTCCCACTTATTAATATCCAGGCTGGGGAGATCATCCAATGCGAGAGATGCCTGCTGGTGGAATCTCTCAGGCAGCAGGTGGTAGAGCTACAGGAGAAGGTGGCTAGGTTGAGGAGCACCTGCATCCATGAGAAATTCCTGGACCATGTTCATGAGGAGACAGCTGAGGTAGCTGTCCCAGTACACAGGACTGTGGACACACCACTGGTGGAGGAGGAGATGGCTCAGGATGGAAAGTGGCAGCTGGTTACTTCTGGCACGAGGCCTTGCCCCACCCCTGCTCCGACCCCTCCCGCCGTGGTACTAGGAAACCGTTATGCTCTTCTTTATACAAGAGATAAGCAATCACCCCATACACCGGAGGCGGAGAAGCCCCGTACCTCCAAGGCTGGGAGGTCTGCTGCCACCACTATGAATAGGAAACATAGGGAAGTGGTGGTCGGAGACTCTCTTCTGAGGGGGACGGAGGCGCCCATATGTCGCCCTGACATTTCATCTCAGGAGGTATGTTGTCTGCCAGGGGCCCATATCCAAGATGTTACAGAGGCATTGTCGAGGATTATCAGGCCCTCTGACTACTACCCCATGCTACTCATCCATGTGGGCACTAATGA